TGGATTTTGTTGTAATTTTAATTATATTTGGATTTTTTTTGTTGTTGGTTTGTATGTTTTTATAAATTGATGCTTGAAAGAGATTGATTATTATTTATTCTACTATTATGTATTTATATTTTAAATTTGATGTCATCAACGTGCATTTGGCTTACCGAATCAAGAGTTGCAATCATGAATGAGCGTCTTGGATTATTATTATAGATTGGGTCATTTGGTGTCATCAGGAGGCAAAACCGAATCAGTAGAGGCAGCTATGTTAAAGGAATTCACCAAAAAAAAAAAAATAATGGGTCTAGTTTTGTTGGGCCATAATAATCTTAAAAAGGCTCAATAACCAAATTACTCTACTAACTGAATTGAAATTTTTTTGATTATTTCAGTTCAGTTATTTCTCTGCATTCGATTTCGGTTCGATGTTCTTTTTACACCACATTCGGTTATTCAGTTATTCAGTTATTTTGGTTATTTGCATTAACCGAACCGAATAACCGAATACGCACCCCTAATTTTATCTGTCTCCAAGATTCAAGTATGCTTTACACTTGTCTCATTTGAGAATCCTATGTAAATGATCTATTTTAGTTGAAGAGTCTTTAGTTCAAAGTATTATAGGTTGAGGTCCTAATATGATTTGTGTGAGGCCTGGAGGGTTTAAATTAATTTTTTCCTTGTGTAGGAGCCATTAGAGAGGGTGTCTGGAAAAAGGACTCCATGAAGCGGCACTTGATTGCCTACATAGTTTAATAGGTTCTCATTTATATTCATTCTACTTGTACTAATTAAATTGGAAGAATTACAATCAAGTCCAAAAAAAAAGAAGTAATTACTAAAAGGTCTCACTAATAACCTAAACAGCCTGAATAACTAGTTCTAGAGTAAAAAATGACAACTGAAACTTATTTTGTAATTTTTTTCTTTTTTTAGAACCTCATTGTAATTCTCCCGATTAAATTCTGATTGCCTATTTTCCCTTCGTTATTAGCTTCAACAACTTTGGTCCTGATATTGTTCATCGCGATTGGAGATTTTTGAAACATTAGAAGAGTGAATGTTTGTTATTACGAGCACCTTCTTTTATCAGGGACAAGAAAGATGAGGCTTGATTGTAATTTCGTTCTATTTATTAATGTTGTCTTTTTTTTTATATTAAAATACAAATTTGTCCTGAAAGTTTTTATTCAAGAGTACTTGGTACTTAAAAGTTTTTTTGGAAGTAACTTTGTTCTGAAAGTTTACAATCATAACAATATTGCACCCACCATTAAAAAAAACTTGTGTTGACTGTTAAAATAATAATGTTGAGTATTAATATTTTTAACAGTAGGAGTAATATTGCTATGATTTTGTACTTCCAGGGCAAATTAGCTTCAAAAACAACTTTTGAATACCCAAGGCTCCAGTTTTTTAAATTCTATCCATCATTTTGAATATGTAATTTTTTCAAATGTTCCTTGGTGGTTTTATGAATTTAGTTATACTTTTTAGAGCACTCTTCTTCATTTTCTTAAATCATTTGCTACTGTTGGACATTGCGTAGATTTTAATTTAGTTTCCTTGACAACAATTTTTTGAGAAGCATCATGTAATGTAGACTTTGGTCCCCCCCCCTATCTCGGTGGTTTTGGTCCCTTGAAACTATAACGTTTCGCACGTATCATCAATTAATATTGCTCTGATTTTTAATTTACAATCTATTTAACTAATTTGATTGGATTAAGAAAGTTAGGTAAATTAGTTAATTATAAAAAAATGACATATTTTTTTTAAATACCATAATCATCTTCTTTAATATTCTTCATTCCTCTTCTACTGGATTATGGTTGAAAGAATATCAATAAGGATAATTTAGAAAAAAAAAATTGATAAATAAGAAAAATAGATCTTACATTTAGGACTAATATCAACTTAACAATTAATTCCTAAATTAAGGACTGAAGGAGTAAAATTATTTGTTCATGAGAATATTGACAAGTTCAAGGACCAATAAGCGCGTGATTGAACTGGTAAGGGGTTCATTCAGCTTAACTAGTGAGATCTCCTATTTAAGCCATGGAGATACAGCTGTTAAAACTTGTTGGGAGATCCTGCTACACAAAGTGGTCTTACAAAACTCAATTCGGATTAGTCAGTTGTTTAGATACATGATACTAAGGTCCACAAAAAAGGTGGCCAAAAGGGTTATCAGGAAAAAAAATTGATAAGTTCAAGGACATTGGAACCTAATGGCAATTAACTCCATATAAAGGATATCTTGTCATTGTGTGGTGAATGCAGATTTGTATTTCCCAAAATTTGATCACCTTAATAACCTGAATTCATCTTGGAATATTTCTTTTATTTTTATAATTAGTTCATACCAAATTTTATAATTCACTATGGTAAGCTTAATTTATAATGAAGTAAGAGGAACATTGAGTTGCTTTCATTTAATTTGTTGGTATCTTAATGAGACAGAAGGTGTAGGCTAAAAACTGCTTGATTATTGAACTAGTAAAAACAATAGTTTAAGAATCTGATCCAATCATCATTAATATAATTTAACTAAAATATATATAAAAAAATACTCATATATTTAACCCTAAAGAGAGTAATATTTAAATAAAGGGATATTAATTCATAAGCAAATTGAACAGTTATGTATAAATCACATAATTTAACTAAATAAAGTTATTAAAGCATAAATATGACAAACTGCTATTTTTTTCAACTCAAATCTAACTTATTTTACTTGCTCAAAACTCTTAATCAAATTAGTCAAGAAAATGATTCATTGGTTCACTGGTAAAAATAGACGATCCGTATTGAGTTTTAATATCAGGGTGTAAGTTTAATGGGAAACAATTTAATCCTTTTTTTTTTTGTTGGTAAGGGTTTGTTTGGTTGGAGGGGAGAGGAGGGGAGGGGAAATGAGCCCCTCCTCTCATTTGATTAAAAATTTTGGAGGGGAGGGGAGCTAAAATGTCCCTCCCTCCCCTCCCCTCCCTCCCCCATTTTGGCTCCCCTTCAAATTGGGTGTTTTTATAGGGGAGCCAAATTTTGGACCATTATGCCCTTATAGTTTTTTAATATTCCACTTTTACCCATAAAATATATTATTATAATATTTATTTCAAATAAAAATATATTATCCTAAGTAAAAAATAAAAAATAAATACATTATTATAATTAAAAATATATTATAAAAATTATTTAAAATAAAAAATTATTTAAATAAAAAATTATAATATTATAAAATTAATTTTTTTATAAATATATTATTTAATAAATATATTTTAAAGCTGGAAAAAAAGATAGCCTAAAGAAAATAAAATTTCATTTTTCTTAGAGCATATAAAATTTGTTAATTTGATTATTTTAAATATATTATTATATTAATTAGAACAAAAAATTACTGTACCAATTTTTTAATACACATATTAACATGATAAGACTGAATTTTTATTAAATTATATGATTTAAATTAAGATGTAAATTAATTTATATAATATATCAATAAAAAACATAAACTAATATGTAAGGGTAAAATGGTAAATTGATTATTACTATCCCTCCCCTCCCCTCCTTGAACCAAACAAGGGATTATTAAATACCCTCCCCTCCCCTCCTTTTTAATCAAACCAAACAAGATAAGGATGAAACCTCCCCTCCCCTCCCCTCCCCTCAAACCAAACAGGCCCTAAATAGTACAGTGGGAATCACATTAATTCATAAGCAGGTCCATGCTTGACTTTCATTGTACCGCGTTAAGGCACCGAAAAATTCACATTGAATCACCCTTATCAATACAACATGATACATTTTCAAAGGAAGAAAATCATATCATCATCTTAGTATTTAGTCACATTTGCTCAATGTATTTGCTTCCTTGTGAATAATGCACTATATTATTGAAATTTGTCAAGTCAAACAAATGAGATTTTAATAATTGATATTATAATTTTTTTTCAATCTTTATAAACTTTTATCCATATTGCACCATTGCACACTCTTTATTTTTATTTTAATTCTCTGCAATATTAATTACTATCATCTACAAATCCTCTGTGCGATTAATAATGTTATTGACAATAAATTAATGTCATCACACTGGGTGAATTAATAATTATTGTCACTTAACAATAAATTAATTCTATAGTTTATTCTCTTATAGTATTATTAAATAATTAATCGATAATTGACTAATATCAATCCCTATATTAAATGAGTATATTCTTGATATTTAGTTACCATTAATTTTTTTTTATGCGCTTGTGCATCGCACGTGACACCCTTTGATCCATAGAGACGATCAAGAGACTCCCAGATTGCTTGGCATAAGAGTATCCTTTGATCTTCTCATGGTCTATTTCCTTTTTTTTTCTTTTTCTTTTTTTTCTCGCCAACCTTCTCATAGTCTCCTTCACCTAGAGCATTATGCAGAATTTGCATTGCTCTGGAATCTGGTTTTATCAACTTCTTCACATGTTCATCATAAGATGATCCAATTTTGAACGTGATGTCATTTTTAATGACACTATATATAGGCGTCAAGAAATTCACAATAGAATCTCATTTTAATTTTCGAGTAATCAGAGCTTGTATCTTCAAGACATAGTAACTTGTAAATGAACTGTCCCTCTTATAGCATGCTGTAAAAGAAACTCATAATCAATTATGATATTTGCATTTGAGATTATTTGATCCTTCGTCGAGTGACATCGCTATAATATCAATTGAAAGAAGCTAGTTGTGTAACAGAGGTGAATTGGACATTTAAAATTTTTTGAAAAAATCAACAAAACAAAATGATAGAATAGTGATTACAAAAAAAAAAAGAGAGTATAAAATGAGTAGAAGTCGAATATAATATTAAAAGAGACGAAAGTAAGAGAGATCAAAGACAATAGTTTATCCTGTAGTTCAGTTCTTCTATTTAAAACTACATTTACTTCAGTTTTTTCTGCATCCGATACTAATTATAAGAGCTAGTAGAAAATATTGTTTTGATTCGAAGTATATTATTGAAGGAAATTCTTGAACCACAGAGCGGAGAGTTTGTGGTATCTTTTCAAGTGGTTCTTATAATCAACAAAGTTGATCCCAAGACGAACCGTGTAGCCAGTAGACCATTCAAAATTGTCCAACAACGACCATACGAAGTATCCCTTTACATTGACGCCATCCCTATTAAATACAAAAACAAAAATTCGAATTAATGCATGTAAAAATATTAAAATATAGACTAAATTACTTAAAACTTCTTTGAACTCAGAATCATATGTATAAATAAGCTGCTCAACATTTAAAACTTAATAATAAATCTTCTAAACTTTCAAGTCTATATGTAGATAACTTTAAACGATCAATTGTATACCTCTTAATCTTTATTTTTGTATTCATATAACCTTCTTAAAATTTTGAGTCATATGCAGATAAACTCCTTAAGTTTTAAGCTATTTGTAGATTATTAGTGGATAAATTTAATAGTATGATAGTTATCTATATAAACAATATAAAAGTTCAGGAGGATTATTGTAAAGTTTCAAAAGTTGGAGAAGTTATTTACATATTACTACATCCGGTTTTTAATATAAAAACTAGTTTGAAAGTTAGATTTAGTCTTAAATATAATACCTGAATTTATTTTTTTTCTCTCAAAATATTCCTATTGATTATAAAGGATTCTCACCAAGAGATAATTCCATACATCTAATAAACATGATTGAAGAGAATATTTTAAAGACACCAACACATATTTGTGACAAATAACTAACTTAACTCATTGTTTTTAATAACCCAAAATTAGTTATTTTACTCCTATATTAAGGACATGAAGTAGTATATAAAGTTTAAGAGGATATTAATTAATTAATTTAGAGCTAAAATATGTTTGCATATGTGGGCAACAGAGAGGTGGTTCATTAATTACTTGATTGCAGATCGAAGATAATGAAGATGTCGGTAATGGTAATCAATTCTGAAAGTATCTATCAAGGCTTCCTCAAGTGGCAGTTTTGGATTATTTAACTCATCCACACCTACAAGTAGGTTAAAAATTAATAATAAATAATTATAAGTTCGAAGAAACATATATAATAATAATAATAATAATAATAATATTTATTTACCATTTTCAGTAATGTAAATCAAGGGATTGTTATACTTAGCCTTGATGTAGAGCAACAAGTTCTTAATTCCTCTTGGATAAACATACAACCATTCTGAAGCAGCCTGCATTCACAACAAATCAATGCAATTTTTCATCAAATGAGTTATTATTATTAACTATTATTTCAAAATAAATGGGTGCAATTACCTACTTACCCTTGGACCAATGGGGATACCGTTGCGCACACCTACCATTTATATCACACAACATAGTAACAGATCAATAAAATAAATTGACACAATGAGAAAAAAATCAATAATAGAAAATTGAAATAATGTTAATAAGTTTATAACAAATTCAACTTAAAGACCCAAAAAATCGTAAAAGTGTCCCTAAAATTTTAAATATTAAAATTCCCTTTTAAAGGACCAGTATTACTATTATTAATGCTTATAGTTGTGATTTATATATTTTCTAAAAGAAAAATATACAATACTAATTAAAAATTTATATATATATATATATATAGGGAAAATTAGTGAAAAACTCTTGTTTGAGAATTCTATTTGTCATGGGAGGATCTAAGTTAGAGTATCAATATTTTCTATATATGAAATCCTGTAGAGTACTGATATTTTCTGAGTATAGAAGCATATCAAGACCTTTTAATCAATAAAATTTTCAAAACAAGAACTTTTCACCAATTTTCTCACACACACACATATATATAATAAGACTTACTATTCATAATTCATAAATAGCATTGCTCACTCCAAACTTAGTATAAAACACTTGGAAAACATTTTTAATCAATATATATACAAAATGAGTAGTACATTGAAGTAAAATGTGTTTGTAAATAATAAAGGGAATAATTAAGGTAATGAAAGTGGAAGTAGTAATTTGAATTACCAGTATGGTTGACACGAGAATCAGTGAAGTAGTTAGGTTGAGAGGCGTTGGGTTTGGGAGCATGGAAGGCATAATAAGAAGTGTAGTAATTTATGCCCACAAAATCAAAAGAGCCTCTCACAATTCTTCTTTCTTCTTTTGTGAACTTTGGCAATCTTCTTCCCACCAGACTTTGCATGTTTTTTGGGTATTTCCCTATTGTTATCGGCTCCATAAACCTGCATATATAATCCCATACAATGCACCAATTAGCAAGAATTAATGATGATTCACCATTAATTAATTAATGATTTGTTTGTTTTATAATTATTACTACCTCTTGTATTTAATATAAAAACTACTTGACTAATTTAAATTAGATTAAAAAAGTTTGTTAAGTTAGTTATTTATAACAAATAATCATTGAATTTCTTAGAATACCCTTACTAATTATATGTATTAACTAAAACTATCATTTGAAGGAACTTTTAACATATACAATTACTATAAGTAAAAAGACTACTTAAAAAAAAAGATAAATATGATCCACAAAATAGATTGTAGTTTTATATTTAAGATCAAATTAAAAAATAAATTAATTCTTATATTAAGAATTAAAAGTAGTATTCCTGCGATTTAACTTTGAAGTTGCATACTGACCATCCTAACATAAAATCAAGGGCTCGTGACGTGGCATGTCGGTCGGATTGCTGTTGCGAATAAGGTACGAACCAATGGGCCGCCAATGTTATGCCTATCAAGCCCTTTTGAGATTCCTACACAGTGCATGCATCCCAATTATAATTTGCTTTTGTTTTAATTTAATTAGTAACCAGTTTTCATCATCAGCAAATTATACTAGTATAAATTTTTACTTAATTTCATTGCACCAATCCATATAAATTTTTGAAACAATCACGACGAAGCAGTAAGGAAGGAATGAAATCCCCCAAAAAAAAAAATCTTATAACAAATCAGTAGGATGGATCTGTTGTTATTTCCTTCATCAAAACCAATAATTCTATGCTACCTAATTGTTGTGTGGCTTTTCAGTGATTACATCTCTTCCTTTGTGACATCGTACTGGTTTTTTTTTCTAAATTTTTCTTTAATTTTATATTCATTTTTGAAAAATGTAGGTGAAAAATAATATATACCCACTAATTAAAAAGAAATCTAAAAAAAAAAAAGAAGAAATAATTGAGCTGAAATTATAAAAATTGAAAGAGAAAAAGATGGAAAACCTGATATTTGGTCTTGTAGAGTCGAACGGCAGAAGCATGAGCAAGAATCTGATAGTGAGAAACCAAGTAGGGCTCGGTACCGGAGTCGCCATCGGAGCAATTAGGGTTTAGCCAAGAAGAGCAGCGGCCGGGAGCCTCAGTTCCGTCACCATAGCCACCCGTACTATAACCCGATGGTTCATTCAATGTGATCCAATGCTTCACTCTATCCCCAAACTCCTTGAAGCATACTTCCACGTAATCCACGTAGTCTTTCCTGCATTTAGTTCCACATATTTGATCGTCAAAGTATTCACAAAAACAAATCCATAATAATTAAGCATTATGCATGAGAATATCACTTGCACACGTAATAGATTTATTGGGAAAGGCAATAAAAAAATCATTTTTCCAAACTTTATGTTATGTATACAGATAATTTTCTTAAATTTTAAAATTTTAATAGAGAAACTTACACAATGCGAGGACTTAAGAAGCCACCATACTCATCATCCAACCCTTGAGGAAGATCAAAGTGAAAAAGTGTCACAAACGGCGTCATCCCTGCAAGTCCCATCAATTTTCATCGCTATTATTAAAATTTCTTAATTATTAGGTTGAATCTAATTACAAATATTTTTAGTAAAAATACTATCTTTTAATATATAATAATATAATAATCAATAATATATTTTAAATTATTAAAAAGGCTGGGATATGATGTTACCATTAGCCAATAATTCGTTGATGAGCTTGTTGTAATACTTGATCCCTTCTTGGTTTATCCCTCCACTTAGATTCCCCTCTGTATAAAATTTACATATAAAGCTTATTAATTAAAATTTAAGAATAAAAATTCGTTACCACAAAAAAAAAAGATGTTAAAGAGTAAACTCACTTGGTAGTATTCTTGACCAAGAGATTGAAAATCTGTAGGCATCTAAATTCATATCCTTCATAATCCTTACATCTTCCTGAAATATGTGTAGAGATATATACAGCTATTATTTTAATGCTATGACAGCCAAAAATAAAATTCAAATAAAGAAAAATAAGAATAGATGTGTGTTGATCTTTTAAAACAAATTTTTGTCACAAATTTTTGCGATTGACATTGTAATAGATTTATGAATAACTTATTTTTCCGGGGGGGGAAAATTCTTCTTTTTTTTTTTTTAATAATCATAGGGAAAAAATATATTACTATGTTGCTATATTGTTAAGCATCAAATTTTTCTCATTCATTTTTTTAAAAAATAACAATAAACTGCAACATTCATTCAAAAAATAATGAAAGAAACAGGGATTTTCTTTTGAAAATTCTTCAAATATTCAGAGAAGTTTTTTTGGTTATTATTATTAAAATCATTCATTCGTTTTCCATACCTTGTGGTGATGATATTCGTCAACTGCTACATCTCCATTGCTCCTATCTTTTATTTTTTCTGCATTATATTTCACCAATAAATAAGTTTTTTTACCCGTTACATATATATAAACATCTATAAACTATATGAAATATAAAAAAATTTACCAAAAAATTATATTAGAAAGTATATAACAATTAATTATAATAATTAGGCAGAATAAAAGGAACTCAGTTCTCTCAAAACATTATCTTGACTTCGATATTTGTGAATGAAAAAGAAATCCCGTGACGAAATCTTAATCTCCTATTTAGAATCTAATACAATTACCAATTGGACTAATCAGTGGTAATAAATATTACATGTTTTCTCATGCAATAAAAAGATAAATATCACATGATTCTACAAAAGAAGAGAGAAGGAGGATGAGAGAGTTGATTATGAGGAAAGACCAGAAGCTAACACATGTTAAAGTGGGTCTCCATAGAAAAAGTAACAAACGTTTGTTGGATTTAATGCACTTGATATTTTTGTCTCATTTTAAAAAGTTTGGGTATTTTTGTACCCAATATTTTATTATGGTAGCGTCTGATGCTTCTTTTTAATATTACAATAAATAAATTTGCCACTCCACTTTATATATTAAAATACAGGGCTAAAAATAATGTATACTATTTTTATATGTATACCTGGGTGTTTTTGGGTAAAAGTATCCCATATGCTTGGTCCTTTACCATCATCTCTACCCCCACCTTCGTACTGTAATTAAAAGAAATGTATTAATTCATAGCTTAAATTATACTCTCTCCGTTCCTTATTATAAGAGACAAATAACTAAATTACGTTGATAAAAAAAACAGTTAAAATTAGTTGAGAACAATTAATGTGTAAAAAGTATAATATTTTTTCCAACAATACCCCTATTAATAAAGAGAGAGAGTATGAGAGAGAACAATTAAATTATTAAAAGAAAGAGAAGTGGGAGGGAGAGAGAGTATGAGTAGGAGACAAAATAAATAGAGGTAAAATAGGAAATCAATACAAAAAACTAGAGACAACTTTAAGTGTCTCTTATATATGGAAACATGCCATAAGCATCAAATGTCTCTTATAATAAGGAACGGAGGGAGTATTAAACATAAATTTCTAGTAAAATACATAAACAAAAAAGAGAAATTTTCTATACAAAAATTCAATTAGATAAAATAAACCTAAATTTAAGTGCGTACAACTGTGATTCGTAAGTGTAACATATATTTTACCGTATTGTACAGCGTAGAAAATATGTTGCACTTACATATCATAATTGTACTCGCTCAAATTGATATTCTTTGAGCTAATTAAGTTTTCAAACAAAGACTTTTAACCAAATTTTTCAACAAAAAGCATTCATCGAACCACAAAATATTCAAAAAAATCATATCTAGGTCGAAACCTGATAGAATTACATTGAGAGAAGAAATTCTCCCAACAAAAATTTAATAAAATTATTTACTCAAGGTTCAAACTCGATGCCATTAAATTCTAAACCACTACTTGTAGCTGTAATTTCTCAACACATTCACAAAACACTCAATCTATGTGTGTATGAAAAATCAACCTGATATGCAGAGGATGCCGTTCCAAAAACAAAACCAGCAGGGAAGCTACTCCGATTAAGAAAGGAAACTTTAAGAATTTTGGATTCCAATTTTGGTGCAACTTCAAGAATTTTGTATTCGGATTTTAGTGCAACGGCTTCGATCGAAGAAAACGATGATGTTATTGCAACAAGAGCCCAGAATAATGTTGCAGCCACTTGAAACTCTCTGAATCTCATGTTCATATTGTTCATCCTGCTTCACAATCATCAGATAACAAATGAGTTATATGTAATTTATATATTTTTAAATTTCAGTCATCAGATGAATTTGTTGGGTAAGGATAATCCGATCACCATATGCTATGCTAAAAAGTTGGGTCAAAACTCCACTCAATTAGTTTAAGATAACTTCAAAGTGGTATTACCTTTATTTCTTGCCCTCTTTTTTTTGTAATATTAGCAAAATAAATTTAAAATATCAATCAATTTATAATTAATTTCTTCAACCATATTACAAGAGATAAACCATATATTAGTGCCCAAAAAAAAAAATCATGTAAGATAACGAACTTACCTAAAAATCCGCAAGTTACTCGGAGACAATCTAAACTTTCACTTTAATCTCTTCGCTCTTTTGTGTTTTATGGCATCTCCTATTTATAGAAGTTTGAAGCTGAGTATTAGAAGCATTTTTTTCTTAATTAACTGATTAATTTAATAGCAAGAAGACAAAATATGATAGAGTTTTATCCCCTATTTATAAAAATATAATCACAAGCAGCCATGAGATAATATTAATTGTATGAATTCTAAATATCTTAATTCTAAAAGTAAAATTTTTTGTTTGATTTTAAAATTTTAAATCTCAATTCCAAATATCTTAAATCTAGATATCATGCCACGTATATAACTCTCATAGTTTTTTCGGTTTCTAAATATCTTGAATTATTGACTAAAATGATAGTAATAATAAAAATTTAACTATTGAATAAAAAGTAAAACACTTTGACCTTCCTTACGTTTTGCTTTAATTACACAAACCTCCTTTTTATTTTGAAAACATACATTTAAATTCAAACTATTAATTCCATTAAGAATATTCTAAAAGGTTGCTTTTTTTAATTAAAACTTATATTAAAAATATTTTTAATGACTAATTCACCCTTAATGATAGTAGATCCCTAAATTTTGGTTAAAAAAGTTTTGAAGAATTTAAAATTTTCTGTTTCCTCAATTCTTTTCATTTTTCAAAATAATTGTTTAATATTTTTATCATATCAGGATAGAAAATTCAATGATTTAGCTGATGTAGACATAAAAAAATTGAATTACAATTTAATTAATTTTTTAAATAAATATATAATTGACTAAATAAGTTGTAAATGTTTTTAACAAAAGTGTTATCTAAAAATTTTAAATTATGAATTTAAATAATTTCTACAACTCTCATAGATAATTTATATTATATGATGAGAAAAAATGTATTTAATATATTTTGTAACCATTTAAAAGAAACCTAAGTAAATAAGTTTTAATATTTGTGATGAAAAATCAAAATTAATAAATTTTATTATATATTAGAAATTTTGAAAATACATGTATTAAAATTAATTTTTGTTGTATCAACAATTATTATTTTATTACAATTATAAATGTTTAACAAATTTTTATGTTAATAAGGGGTATTTTAGTCAAAATAAAAGTTTAAAAGTCGAACATAATAATTAACTAACAGTTAGATGGATGAAAATGAAATGTCAAATATACAAGAAGGCTTGTATAACATACAGTTCACTTTCAAAAGAGATTTATATATATTTTCAAAACAGATGGAAGATTTTTATAATTTAAATAAAACAGAGAGGTGATTAGTATATTTTATTCTTGACTAAGATATACACAGACAAATAAATAAATAAATATACATTTAAAATAATTATAGAATTTAAAAAAGACCCTCAAGTTCGGCTGAATTTTACGATTGAGATATCTAACTAAAGCATGGCTCAATATAGAGGATTCATTTTCAAATTGTTTTGATTATTCTTTCTTTAATGTTTTCTTCGTATTCATAGAGTGTGAAATGTATCAAAGGAAAATTAAAACTAGCAACATGGGAGTTTTCGAAGTACAACCTAAGAATTAATGCCATCTTTAATTTATTTTGATAATATATATTTTAATCTTGGCCCCCATGGTAATGAAGCTAGCCTCATGAATAGGATGGAGTGGATTGGAATTGAACGTCGTCCTATATTTTTTTTAAGAGATTTATTTTTAAAATAAAATATTTCTTTTATTATTAGTTAATAGATATTATATTAACTATGGAATGGAATGAATTGTATTTTTTCAATAAAATTTTGATTGTTTTAGCTTTCTCATTCTACATAATAAATTAGTACGGACATCAACATATCGCACAAATTTTACTATAAGAAACTTGCAATGGTTTTATATTACATTGTTTTAATTTAATTTTTTTTGGGGGTGCGTGTGTCTATGTAAAAGATGTGTTTGCTTTTAGACTAGTCAAAACTAAAGTTTGGATAAGATTCCAATATAAAAAAAATGTTCCCGAACTTACTTTTATTATTTTTGTTAACTTTTCAAAAAAAAAATTATCTAAGTAAAAGCATCTTTCTATCAGAAGTATTTCTATTTGAAACACTGTTAGATACTAAATATAAATAATCTCATTCACTAAACTCAAGCCATATTTTAGTCTTTTGAACTTACTTTTAAGCAAACTTGAGAGATTGATGAGCATTAAATTGGGCCGAAAGCCCAAAAACAGTTTGTATGTTACATCTCTCCAACGATTTTGGGTTCTGACTAAATTGGGCCTAGCATCCAAATATTATGTTGGATACCAATGGTTTAAATGAAAAAAATATAAAATTGTTGTGCAAAGAGTTGCATTAATGAAGTTACTTATTACACAACACAAAGTAACTTTTGTACATAGAATGGGCTAAAAATAAAAGTAAAACATTATTAAAATAAGGGTTAAAACCTAACGGGAAAATCATTAAAAAAAACTTGGAAATTAAAAAATTATATACAAAAACTCGTTCACGAAAGTTGTTGTCATTGTCAAAACCAATACTAATATTGTAACAGGTCTTTATTTGTAATTTTTTTTCTTTCAATTTTTTGTTGTTGCAATTTTTCCAAACCTAAAAGCATCCAACTACTAAAATTTCTATACAGTTGCAAACCATAGGATTTTTGGGAGTAATTTACAACCCAATAAAAATGTTTTGTGCAATTGACTGACGAAAATACCAAATGGTGTTAGCAAGTCAAATGGGCCCCACACGCATTTTAGAAAAGGATAGAATTTCGACTAAGTTGTTCATGTCCATTGGGCAAAGTTCATGGATGAGTTTGTAAGTGTATAAACGTTTTTTGCCTACTGCAAGTGCATAATACGTATTTCAACAACTATCAATAACAAAATAATGTGTCATATTTCATAGATGAATATAAGTACACATACACATTTTAACTATTTACAATAGTAAAATAATAATTACAATAACTATACATATAAAAATTTAAAATTCTGATCCTAATTTACATTATAAGAACTATACAAACATCTACAAGTATTCATAGGTGAATTTACAAGTACACATCCATATTTTAACAAGTAACAACAGCAAACAACAAGTGTGATTAGAAAATTTAATTTGATAAAAATAAACAATTTTTTTAAAAAAATTAATTTAATTTTTTTAATTTTTATAAATTAATTATCAGATTCTTATATTTACAAATAAATGGACTAATAATACAATTCAAAAAGATAGTAAACATTACCTTTGTGGGTGAATATTTTTAAAAGAGAAATGGCACATGGCATGCGTACATCCCACCCAATGAATGCAATTTTGTGATAGGGAAGTAGGTTCAATTCAATGTCTCTCTCAACCACTTTAAGTAGAAAAGGGGCCAAATTAAATATTGTTGGTCACTTTAATTAATTACAAGCATTCAACTTTGGAAAAGAAATGTATCATACATAATAATGTGAGCAAGTATGTCCCAATCATTGTCACATCCTTTACCTATCATGAGAATTCACCTTTGGCCATTAGTAATGATTATTTTTTGTGTCCAATTTGTAATTTAAAACAACCTAATATTGATTATTAATTTGGATCTGAATACAATTATATTTGGGTCAACATCATTTTTAATTGTTGAAATTTAAAGTATTTTTTTTAAATTCTTAAAATTTAAAATCATTAGTTTTCGTTGTTAAAATTTGACTTTATTTTGATCTCCTTAGACATTTTGTTCCCCGAAACAGTGTTTTCGGTTTTTTAAATTAATAATCAATATTTTAAGATTTCAGAAACTAAAAATCATATTAATCTTTAAATTTTTAATATTAAAATTATTCCAATATAATTTTTTTTAAGATTTTAATTAAAATCAGTATTTTAAATTATTAATATTAAAATTATTCCAATAATCAATATTTTAAATTAAAATTTCAGAAACTAAAAATCATATTAATCTTTAAATTTTTAATATTAAAATTATTCCAATATAATTTGTTTTAAGATTTTAATTAAGGACTTTATTTGACAGACATAAATCTTTTTTCACTTAAAATAATTGGTATTAGTTATTTAATTATTTTACATTTTATAGGACATAGAAATCTAATCTCAACTAAACTTTGTTCAACTACCGACACAAGAAACAAAAATGAAACGCTAAGACGAATATCACATCATTCTAACCTCCACATTAATATATAATATATTATGAAGTTTTAAAAATGGTGAGAAGAGAATTGATAAATAAGGAAGGCGCGAATGTGATGAGCGAATGGAGTCAAATGAACGGCAAGCAAAGCAACCCACCAACGCCGTGGTCTTGGAAGTTTATGTATAATAAAACACAAATTATATAATTATTAATTAATTGCCAAATTTTGGAAAAGTGACAGCTGTGGGGCCCGGCATATATTGACAGGTGTACAAAGTTTTTGAGTCAAACAAAAAACAAAAACAATCATTAGCATTTCTTTTTAAAAATATTTTTATGCAAATTAAGATAATATTTTTCTTACATAATTATCTCGAACC